ATCGAACAAAATTTAGCTTTAGAAGAGGAATAAGTTGCTATACGAGCTGTTTGCATGTGATAAATTCCCTTATTGTATTAGCAATGATTGCGTGACAGTTTCCTTTTCAATGCTAATATATTTCGAAATGCATTGTTTTGTAGTAATTTCATTTTTAAGTAATTTGTCAAGGAGCGATTTGATTTCTTATAAGTAACCATTCCATAATGTATTGGTAAATTTGAATATTTTTTAGAACTGTCAGGAAATTACAGCAATCAATATGTATCTTATCTACTTCTTTCTTCTCTTTCTCTTCCAAATAAACATCCAAACAGCAGTAAGTTTATTCATTAAAGTTGAAAAGTAAGTAATTTTTGAAAGATTTCAAATTTTCGACATTTTGGTAAAATAAATTTTATGTAATTTCAAGCAGCACAAACACAGCCGTTGGATTTATCGATGTCAAAAGTGAGTGAGGAACCAATAAAACTATAGGAATCATTAATTAATGAACTATCGCATTTAAAAACTTATAAGAGGGCTCAGAGCTGTAAAATGTCGTACACGGTTGTTCCAAATGCTAGCATAGTTTTCCCCATTTATGGTTTTGAAAAAATATGAGATGATTGATACCAGTAAAAATATTAGGTAAAATGAATCATTTTATAATTTCAATTTCAGGAAACACAAACGGTGCAAACAGAGCCGTTGGATTTATCAGTGCGAAAAATGAGTAAGCAACGAATACAAACAAAAAATTTATCAATTAATGAAGGAAATAAAGAACAGAGGGAGTTATCGATTTTAACAATCAAAGGAATGAGTGTTGAACAAGTATTACAGCATGATGTTCGTCGTCGAAAAAATACTGATGAAAAGTTATTCGATTGTTGGATATGCGGAAAAAGTTTCTCGAAATTATCGAATTTGAATACTCATATGAGGATTCATACCGGTGAAAAGCCGTACAATTGTGGTATATGCAATAAAAGTTTCTCGGTATCATCGAATTTGAGAAGACATATGTTCACTCATACCGGTGAAAAGCCATACAATTGTTCGAAATGCGGGCGAAATTTCTCTCATTTACGGAATATGAAAAGACATATGCTAACTCATACCAAGGAAAAGCCGCATAAATGCAATCAGACATGCAATCAAAGATTCTCTGATTCATCGAATTTGAAAAGACATATGTTAATTCATGCCGGTGAAAAGCCTTATAGTTGCCCGATATGCGGACGAAATTTCTTTCAATTATCAAATATGAAAAAACATTTGAACACTCATATCCGTGCAAGTTATACAATTGCTCACAGAACGGAAAAAGTTTCTCCCAAAAGTTCCACCTGAATGAGCATATGCAAAGTCATAGGAATAAGAAGCTTCTTTTCAACTGAATTGAATACAACCAAAGCTTTCTAAATTAATTCATTTCGAAATCACATATGAATAAGTTCATGCTGAATTAGAGTACGCGCATTTTAACCTGAAATACTCGTTGCTATTTTTGGTACTCCAAATCGTTTCAGTATTTCATTAATTGAATTCTTGCAGTTTAATTCATCCATAATTTTTATCATCTCATTTTTTTTTCATTTCTTCCTATTACTATTATTCCTTACCTGTATATTATTTATTTTATCGCCTGATATGTAAATGAGTATTATTGTTCTGCCATTCATTTATTTTTTCTCTTTCTTTTATTTTAATGAATAAAATTTTCTGTATCGTATCTCTTTGCATATTTATTGGATAGATAATCATTGTAGGAATAATTATGGAATCTTGTCAATTAATGGAAAAATATTGATAAATCAATCTCGTATCAGATCGTATTACCAATTTTTTGTTTTCAATATTGATTTTTATTTCATGACAGTTTAGTTTACTTTCATGTTGCAAAATTTATTCCTTGAAAAATTATTTTAATTAATTATTTGTTTGAAAAATTTTATTCATTTAAAGAATGCCGAGTAGGTCGAATATCATTTCAGGTCTTTTTTGGTCGATGTATTGCAAATGTAATTTCCTGAAATCAAAAATGAATGAAGAAATTACAAAAGAAAATGAGAGAAAATGAATTACATTAAATTTTAATTGAGTATTTAAAATCATTGATAAAAATATTTGATGAATTAATTATATATGAATATTACAATATAAATTTTCATTTTAATTTAAATTTTTATTTCATTGTTTTTGAGTAATATTTTCTTCATTTTAATTTATTAGTTAGTTAACGTAAATTAATTAAATAAGAATTTAAAATTTATTAATTAAAATTAGATAAGAAATCACTCATTGAATTTATTTGTGATAACGAAAAAAATTACCATATCTTCTGAGATTTTCATCACACATGCAGCATTATTAAATTGAGCACAATAATTTGGAGCCGAAAATATTGTAACCAACCGGCGATTATCAAAAAATTCATAACCTTCTTGAACAACCTTAAAGTACTAATTAGTAATAGTAATAGAGAATGAGAGTAATTTGTTAATTTTGCTAATACTAAATTACTCTTAATTAATTTATTATAAAATAATTTATTATCTATTCTTTTGTTTTTATCAGTTTACTTTTTTTTTGACGGGAACTTTTGATTATTTTATCACTCATTAATTTTTTATCACTTTCATTTCTAAAGTGTTGATTTATCTAAAGTTATCTAAATTAGCGATCATATATTATCATTCCGATACGAAATATTTAAACCTGATGCGCTCGAACAATAAGATCCAGTCCAAGTTGTTCACAAAATGCTTTTAGCGCATCTTTACCAAATACACTTGCTGCACCACGTGGACTTTCTTCATAACCTTCTACAGCTGCATCAGGATCAGCCCATGTTAAATCAGCAAGTAAACCCATATCCGGAATATCACATGGTCGTTCAATTTTTGCAATCCGAAAATATTTTAATTTGATAAGTTTAATTTCATTTTTCAACAAAAAAAGAGATTTGAAAATTTTCATTTTGCTTTTAAAAAATATTTCATTTTAAATTATCGAAGGTAAGAAGAAATATGATAGTATGGAATTAATGCTATTAATTGCCTAAAATATGCCTAATAAGGCAAAAATTTTGTAAAAGTGAAAAAGAATGAGATTGTAACAAATTGTGACAGATGTGATGACAAATTTTCATGTCACAAATGCATGCAACAAATTTCCAATTTAAATTTCCAGTGCCATTTCAGAAATTTTAAGAAGAAGAAATGAGTGAAAATACTGAATACAATATTCTATTGTCCATTAAAAAATAAACAAATAAAATTATCACTCAAAATAAACCTGTGAAAAATTAACTAAACTTTCACTGATACCACCATGCATGCACATTATTGTTTTTGATATACGAGCGCAAAATGGCATGCAATAAAATGCAAATTGGAAACATTCATAAAGTACCACCGAATAACTATGATATAATTATATTAATTCTATGCATAATTAAAAAATTCTATAAATTATAAAGTACGACAATTAGATTAATATAAAATAGGTATAAGATTATATTGAGATTAGTTTAGAAGAAATAAATTTTAAATAATTTTAAAGGAGTAATTTTAATCGAATAGTGTTGATGAAAATTAAATTTAAAGATTTGTCAAGTGCAGAAATTTTCAAATGTTCATAATATAAATATTGACAGCGTTAAATAAATGTATTATACTGTCAAGTAATTATTTTAATCAAGCAAATCTTTAAGACAAAGAAAATTCCTAATAATTATTGCTCATATTATTTCTTTCTGATGTTTATTCAATTTAAATTCAACAATGAGAATTCATTTCCATTTTCTGAAAAATTAACGGATCGAAATTTTAAATTTTTTTTGATAATAATAGTTATTACTGTTATTATTAATTATTATTGTTACTAATATATAAGTTTATTATATTATTATTATTATTATTATTATTATTATTAATTATTATTGCTATTACTAGGAAAAAAGTATGCAAAATTTGAGTTTTTCTCTCTCAATACTTGAAATTATATTTCAATATCAGAATAATTGATCATATTTAAATTGTTAACCGTCTCGTGCATTCCACATAGAATCCATATTGCTTATTAACTGGCCGTGATTCATGATTGCCACGTAATAAAGTGACTGTATCCGGATAAAGTACCTAAAATTATAAAATTAATCAAACAGTAACATATTTTAAAAAAAAAAAAAACAGCGAAATAATATAAATACAATACGATTTTCTTTTACCGTATCTGATCACTTTCTTTTACCGTATCTGATCGCTTTATATTATAATTTTTACAAAAGAAAACTTCACTGAAGATTACAAAAAATGCTGATACTTTATAAGCAAATAGCAACACGATCACTTCAAGTGAATATGGACCGCGATCAACATAATCACCGAGAAAAAGATATTTCTTATTTGGTGGAAAACCGTTAAGGGTGAATAATGCGATCAAATCTTCAAATTGTCCATGTATATCACCCAAAATATTTATTGGTGGATTTAGCTAAAAATGCAAATCTGGAAAATAATTTTGGAAATTTTAAAATATGAAAAGATTTTTTAAAATATCATATCAACAAAATAATTAATATTAATTAATAATTTGTTACCTTCTTGTTATTTCAAGAAATCTCAAAAGTTTTTTTGAAATTTCAACTCATAGATAATTATTGTTTATGCTAAAGCGATTTAATTAATTCAAATTATGATAATTATTATCAAAAAGTTTCAAAATTAACAAATCAAATTGATAATTGCCGTAATTATTTACTAATCAAATTAAAAAAGTTTGCAATTAGCAATTAAAAAATTTTCCTTTTCAAATTTCAATAATCATTAAACTGAGCCAAAACATTTAGTCATTTTAAATTTAGTCCAAAAATATTGATTATTTCATTTTTGAGATCGCTGATCGCTCCAAACCTCTAGCAAGACTAATAATAGCTTATTTGCTATTTCAATAAACATTAATGATATTTCATTTGCTACTACAACAAATATTGCTGTGCTAAATTATAATACCTCAATAAGAGGTATTTATTGAGGTATTAAAATACTCAATAAGAATTTTAATACCTCAATAAGAGGTGGTTGCATCCAAAACATTTCACGTGCTCGATAGCATAATTCGATAAGTTCACTTTCGGTAAAAAGTGATTGACATTTAGCTGGTTCCCATTCTTTTGTTAATTTGTCTACCACTGTTTGTATCCATGCTTTCACCTAAATGATCTTATCAAAGTAATTTTAAACTCTTATCTAATCAATTTTAAAATTTTCATAAACTTTCAACAATTTCATGTTAATTTATTTTTAAAACAATTGCACCTGTTAATTTTAATTATTATATATCTTAAAATTATTAATATTTTCCCTTTGTTTATTCTTATTTCTGCAGTATCCGATAAATATCATAAAAAATAAATAAATAAATAGGATGAAAAATCTACGAATACAAAAATTAATTAGCATATTAGACAATAGAAACTTCTAAATAATAATTATCACCTTTTAAATTTTCTACCTAAATTTGCAAACTTTTAATAAGTCACTAAAAAGAAGATAATATTTCGAATGCTGCAAATCATTGCTCAAAATTATTCCAACTTATTGCTATATTGATGGAATATTTCAAAATCAAAAAATTAAGAAATTTTAATTTTACTTCAAAAAATAATTAATGAAATTAGAAATGTTTGCAGATATTTCATTCAGGTTTAACTTCAAATGATCAGGTTACTTGAAATCAATGATTGTTTATTTTCTAAACTAAATAAATTGCATCAGATGATTAATTAATCCTATCATTAAATTTCACTTACTCCAACTTCTCCTTTTCGTTTTCCATCTTTTTCATCTTTCACTTTCTTTTTACTTTTTGGCATTATCTTTTATTTTTGCTATTTATTCACTGATATTCCCTAAATCTTATTATCATATAAAAATGTTTAATTTTGATCGGTGAAAAAAATTAAAAAAAATTTTCAAATTAAAAACTCTATTTTTAGGCTTATTTTAGGAGGAGTAAACTAATATGAAAAATAAGAAATTCATAGATGATCGAAATTTTAGAATTGAAAATTTTCCCTTTTAATAAAACAATGGTAATCATCTTGAGTGAACCTTTCAAAAAGTAATTATTAACACAATTGCTAACATCGAGGAAAAGACGAAAACTAAAAATGATAAATGCCAGTTTCTGAAGTTTCTATTTATTGCAATTTAATAGGAAATAAATATGCAAATTAAGTACTTGAATGAAATGAATAAATTATCATTTTTATTTTATAACTTTGGATAAATTTTAAAATAAAGTTAAGGAATAATTATTTATTAAAAGAAAAATAATTATTTATTCTTTTGTATTAATTTGTTAATTTGGCAAAATTTAAATTAAAAAATCGTTACTCTCGTTGAAAATTTGAACTCTGAAAGTTTACATTCATTAAAAGTCAGCTTTGATAGTGAAGAGTTTTACCAGAGGAGTTTCATATTGTAACGATTTATACCTAAATTGTTTGGGATGTCTAAACAATATGCAAATAAATCAAGTTTCTATTATCAAACGACACATAGCAATTGCTTATTTCATTGTTCAAAATATACAGCCTTTCATAACTTATCTATCAAACTATAACTAAACAATCAATATTTTACTATAAGACTTATCATCTAGTAAGAGATCATCTGCCAAATTTAAATCCATATCGAACTCGCCATCACCAAAAAATACCATGTTTTAATTCCCATACAAAATTCACCCGTTGGAAAGAATATAATAAACAAATGCTTTTTTTCGTCTTAATTGCTTTACTGCTAAATTCTCGTGAACTAAATGATAAATCCTTAAGATGAATTTCATCCGGTTTATTTCTATCGTTTGCAAAAATGTTCTCATTTGACGGAGGAAAGTAAAATGATGAAAATTCCTCTTTTTTTTATAACAGATTATGTGAATCGAATTGATAATACGTATGCCACGTTTCTTCCGGCAAATCTCATATTTTTATATCATAATCACTCATTCCGTTTAATTGCTTTATACAGTAGAATCAACGATAATAGTGACTTCAATAAAACTCTCAAATCTCATCTTTTTTTTTTAGATTTCCAATCATATTTTTACAAGTATTCAAATTACGACAACGTACAAAGAAAAAAAAGAACCGATATGTATTCTACAACTTCTATATTCAATCAACTTTACGCCTCTTGTATTTTAAGAGAGTTATATCCTAAATTTCACTTCTTTTCCTCAAACTTATCCAAATAAGAACTACACATGTCCATTCCTCAACCTATTATGCTAGCATAACAAAAACTCGAAAAAGAGAATGAAAAAATGAATGCATATATAACAACAATCAAGTCTTTTTGTGTAATTAGAAATTAAAATATTTGACATAAATGGTCAAGCGATAAAATTATCTTCCTCGCTATAATGACTTGCTTTTGAAAATGAGGGGAACATGACATAAAATGTTGTCATCAACTTATCACACAATGGAGTGTTGCTTCTGAGCATTTCTCTTTTTTAGCAGAAGTTTGATTATGGAAATTCCTTTGTGGTACATATCATAAGTTTGATATTAGTAAATGTGCAATACTAAATGACTATAGTCACTCTAAATACAAGATCTCTCTCAACTGGTTGTACTCTTCTGCTTCTTACAATCTCGAAAACACTTCGAATACCACAATATCCTCACTGGCTCATTCCTTTTTGCAGTTAAAAACAGATTAATGTCAAAAATGACCCAGAGGAACATACTGAGAACAAAAAAGCAATGAATCATACAATTTGGCACACTGGCAACAGCAATATGAAAAAATTCAGTACTTAAGGCATAATAAAAGCATAACATCATATGGAGTACCATTACATCATACGGAGACCACAACTTACCATCTCTGGGCAAATCAATCCACGACTAGAAAAGGTGTTTGATTTTTTAACGGGAAAAATCTAGAAATATAAGCTTGTTTAAAGAAGTATGCCTTAAATACAATTGCAAAAGTATAGGACATTTAACCTAACATAGCTTGCACTGCCAACAGTCGTCGTTCAATCAAAATCTTTATCTTCCAGATACCGATATTCGAATGTAAACTGCTCCTTCTTACGTTGGGACCATTTTTCATAATCGAAATACACATATGTACCCTAGAAAAACGGGTTCTTTTAAATAAAAAAGACTAATTTATTCAAGTAAAAAAACTGCTAATATAAAAAGAGTTTTCTCTCTTTGATATTAGCTATTCTAATACCCTATCTACCGGTATGAAAAATTTTTTCAAATAGTGCATATTGTTTCGAAATATACCTAGAAATATTTATTGTTTCGAACTATATCTGGAAATATTTATATAATAAATCCCTATGTCTGAGATTAGAAACCTACTACCGGAAATCATATCGAAAAACAAAGAGCATTGGATTTCCTTTAACTCGTTTATCTATTATTACCATTTTTTTCATGCTGCCAAAAACAGTAAGTGATCCAGATTGCTTTGGGCATTTAAATGTTCTGCATCATCATTTATCATGTAAGATCGTTCCATGCCCAACTATTCAAAAGTATGATCAAAGATCAGCAGAGTTGGTTCCCCTTATGAACAAAGAACGAAGAATGAAATCTGCACGTGCGATCTTACTTGCTCATAGTCATCAGTTATTTGCTTCGGTTCTTCATGTCGTTGAAACCACATCAAATATTTCGTGTGAAATCGCCATGAAAGCTTTTTTAATGCTTTTGCCGCTAATAATTGTGCACGTGAACCCTAAAATCCAACAAAATTTCCTTAAGACCTATTATGCTTCTTCATAAAGCAAATAAAACAAACAATGTGATCAAAAAATTACACATTTCGATAATTAACCTCCATATAATAGAAAGCGAAGAAAAGTGTCTCTGGACTCAATCGGAGGTAGTACTCTAATGTATCCGCATTGATTAGTGGCGCTTGCGGATAATAAGCTGCAGTTACGCATGGCATTTTTGGCAAATAACTTCGTGGTTTCTCGGAATCCATCGGTAATGGTGTTCGTGCCAACGCATGTTCTAACAATTTCAATTGTGTATCGTGCTCTGGCATTGCCGGTGAGCGACCCAATGGCGATGCCCCAAGCCATGCTGGTATCACGGCCTGCATTTGAAGCTGAATTCAGAAAACAAAAAATAAACATTACGCAGAATGAACGAGCAAAGGAAAAGATAAAAATATACCTACATATTCGATAGTAAGTAACAGCTCTAGTACAATATAAATAACTAATACTATCTTTTTTCTTCCAACCCATTTATGTTCACTTCTTGACTTCGATATACTTCACTATCTACGGTAACTGCGTATATAATATAATGAGTGGTGAAAATGAGTGTAAATGTTGCCTTTTAAACAATTTGTTAACCTCTTTATACTTACTATCCTATTTAAACGACGAACTAATTCACGTTTAACAATTTAACCAATTTAATCATTTTTAAGACTCAATTTCTACTGCAAGCATCAGCTGTTTTCTCTTCGTACATATCTTTCATCTTATAGAACTCACTGAGTTCAGTCTTTACTTTCACATTTTTTTCTTGGCCATACAAATATTACATAATATCTAAGTTAGTTTTTGTCACTATCTCAACAGTTCTTGTCATTATTTCATTATTCTGGCCACTGATGAAATCATTTTCTCAGACATGTTCTGAAGGTCTCATTGGATTCTTATTAATAAAACTCATGACTGATAATTAAGATATCAAGTTCAAGTTTCAGTGTTATATCATTTTATAACAGCATTAAGTAATCGTTAGACGCTATATTTTTAATTACAAGGAAAATTCATTAGATATATAATATAAAATTAAAGTGCGTACCGTTTGTGGCAAGTGATTTCGTGCATCCTGAGTTGTACTCATCCGTAATACCTGTCGCAGAGCATTCTGGTCAATATCATTCCCAGTTATATTATTTTGCAATGGTACAGTAGTTGAATTTACTGCAGCTGTACCTGTAGTTACAGTAGACATATTTAACGCACTACTCGTCTCGCTGTTCACTTGAGAAGTTACTAATGCAATTGTGGAATGTGTCATAGTTGACGGTGGCATGTTTAAGGTTGCCGTATTTGTTACCGAATTTTGTAGTGATGATGCCTGTGCTGCCATTGATTTTAGCGTGGCAATCTAAAAATATTTCATATAAAAATAGAAAAATTAAAATAACGACGAAGAAAAAAAATAAATGTTCAATACTTTCTCTTTCTTTAATTATCAGTTTCATGTGCTGCCTGCCCATCCTGATTTCGTAAGCATCGTAACTCCTTGCAAAATGAAAAAGCATAAGCTCGAACACGCTATGTGCCCTACAGGCAATAGGTAGAGTAATGTTACACCAAGTGATAACTGAAGAAAGGACACGATTGTCCAGAAGATGATGCACGTATGTGACAAATGCGACAGATCATGCTAAAGAAGAGTTCTATCAAATATGAGTGTGATAAGCCTGAAACTGTTACAGCAACTTCCCGGAAAGGTAGGAAGCCTGGTATAGTTGCAAAAAACATGAGTTAGCGTGCATATTGAATACAGAAGGAGCGTAATGTTCTTGAAGAATTGTTTCGTTTCCTTCTTTCATTTTCTTTTTTTCTTTCACGGTTAGAACTATACAATGAGAACCAGACAGTGTTGATAAGAATACACGCTGAGCCCTATTACTTGAATCTAGCTACTCTTCCTTTCACCTTCCCTGCTCTCCCGCTCACTCCATGATATCACAAAAGTATTTTCTTACAAGCACAAAAACATAAAAATTCGGTAAGTAGTTAAATGCGTTGATCAATGTTAAATTCTTCATAATCCAGATCAGCAACTCCAATAAACTAATTTTT